AAAAAAAAAAAAAAAAAAAAAAAAAAAAAAAAAAAAAAAAAAAAAAAAAAAAAAAAAGAAAAAAAAAACTAACCTAGAATAACATCAGAGATTTCGAGTACTTTCTTTACGGTCTGGCTGCTTATGATCGTCCCCATGGAGGCCCTGCTGTCTACAGCTATTATAATACCCCCCTGCATACTCACAAACCCTAAACCCTAAACCCTAAACCCTAAACCCTAAACCCTAAACCCTAGAGGGGTGCTGTGGTTTAAAAGAAAACCCTAAACACTACAAGTAGAATTAGGGTTTAGGGTTTAGGGTTTAGGGTTTAGTTCATCACCAGTCTGCAACAACAGAAATAATAAAAATAATAAAAATAACAAAAGCAACAATAAAAACAAAAATAAAAAAAATAAAAAAAATAAAAATACCTTAAACACAAACCCTAGTGTTGTCGTTCCCTTCTTCATTGATAGAGAAGAATTTCCTTCTTTTGTATATTCAGGGGGCCCCATATGCATCGAAAGAGGAGAAGGAAAGCCCCGTGGTTTGCATGCAAACAACTCAGCTGCAAACCGAGCAGGCTGCATGCATGCATGCATGCACACACGCATATACAACAAATACTCAGTGCATGCATGCATGCATGCATATACAACAAATACTCAGTGTATGCATGCATGCACACACGCATATACCACAAATACTCAGTGCATCCATGCATCCATGCATGCATGCATGCGCAGATGAATATACAACAAATACTCAGTGCATNATATACAACAAATACTCAGTGCATCCATCCATCTATGCATGCGTGCAAGCATGTATTATAAAGAGCGTACGTATGCATGTATATATATACACACTGCTGGAGAGAGGATAAGTAGAAAACACAGAAAACTTGGGGTGTACAGACAGCTCAAGAAAGCTGCGGGTTTTCCCTCACGTTTTGCGTTGGCGCGAGTGTGAAACATCCTGGGTTTAGATCGAAGTTTGTTTCGTTGAAATAAGTTTCATTTTCGGGGAAATCTGCGGCATTTGCGGTATCCCAGCAACTGAAATCGGCAACATAAGCCATTTTTAGCGGTGAATTCAAAAAATTAGCGAAAAAACGACACAAAAAGAACAGAAAATGATGAAAAATGAAAAAGAAATAGACGCGGGAAGCTGTATTGAGGTGTACGTACACCTGAAACTTGCAATGGAAAGCTGTATACAAGAACTGCTGCGGTTGGCGGGGTTTATGGATCACTGACACCGTCGTTTTTTATTTAATTTAATTTAAATTGTTTATAAATTAACTTTTTTATGAAAAAGAAATATATTTCATCAAAAAATATAATTAATTTATCCTCGTTGCGCAGCACACAAGGAGGAGGGGGGGGGCGCTGGCGTTCATGCATACAGTGGAAAGCGGCTTAAAATAGAGCTGTTGATGGATTGTAAATGTTTATAAATATATTTTTTATATTTATAAATCACAAAAGAAATATATTTCGCTTTTTTTTTCTTCTTTTCTCCTGCATGCATGCTACTGCAGCTGCAGCCAATGACTGGCGTCGCTGCTGCAAGCTGAGATATGTTGCTGCCGACGATCACCCTTTTTTCTCTTTTTGTTTTATTTATTTATTTATTTATTATTTCTTTGAATTTGTTTCTATTTAACTCCTCATTTTTTGTTTCATCGATGCAATATACACCCCAGAACCACCACTGTTCAGGTGTACGTACACCTGAGCTCTTGTCAACTCCCTGCTGCTGCCGACGATCTTCTGTTATTTATTTTATTTTTCTTTAATATACACCCCAACCAACAAACCCCAATATCTTCATCGAAGCTGCTGGCTTTCCCTGGGCTCCTTAAGTGTAACTGAAATACAGAAACTTGTATACAAATACAAACCAT